AAGAAAGAGGAGAAGGATGGGAAAGAGAATGTTTATCCAGTCCCCGACCGAGTTACATTTTCTCGCAATTCACATTGGCGGATCTGGGGGAGGGGGGGTCATCGGTCATGACCCCTCCCTTGGGCCAAAAAAAAAAAAGGAGAAAAAAGAATTCTAGACCTACCTTTCAGGACCCGTGAGCTATTTTTTTTTTTTACACTTAAGGAAATTAAAAATGTTTAAGAACATAAAATTCATTAAAACTCAATTCAAATGTCGAAAATGGAAAAAAGTATATGCATGCAACTACTCATTTGTTTATACATAAAATAAAAAATGAGAAAAATTTACCTCACCGTTTTCAAGAGGGAAAAACCTTGAATTTTGAAGAATTAAAAAGTCATTTATAAATGACATTTCAGAAGTCAGGAAAGCTCATTTCCCGCCATCTAGAAATCGAAATTTTCCCTGGGGAACCCGGACCCCCTTTTTCTTTGGTGTTCATTGATTCATTGAATCATTTTCAAGAGGGGAAAACCTTGAATTTTGAAGAACTTAAAAGTAATTAAAAGACACCTCAGAAGTCGGGAAGCTCATTTCCCGTCTTCTAGGAATCTAAATTTTCCCGGGGGAGGACCCCCCTTTTTTTGGGAATTATCGACTCATGAAAAAAAAATCGTATGCAACTACTCAATTTTGTTTTATGTATGTACACACACATAAGGCATATCTACTGTAATAACAATGGGGGAAATTTACCTGACCGTTTTCAAGAGGGGAAAACCTTGAATTTTGAAGAACTTAAATTAAAGTCGCTAAAAGATACTTCAGAAGTTGGGAAAGCTCATTTCGCACCATTTAAAAAATAACATTTTCCCGGGGAGAACCTGAACCTCCCTTTTCTCTTTGGGTTTATTGATTCATTATAATAATTTTCAAGAGGGGAAAACCTTGAATTTTGAAGAACTTAAAAGTAATTGAGACACCTTAAAAGTCGGAAAAGCTCATTTCCCGTCATCTAGGAATCAAAATTTTCCCGGGGAGAACCCCCGAACTCCCCTTTTCTTTGGAGCTTGTCGATTCATTGAAAAAAGAATACGTAGGCCTACGCAACTATACTCATTTTTTTCAATGTATGTTTACACACATATCAGGCCTATTTACTGTAATAAGAATGAGAAAGTTAATTTACCTGACCGTTTTCAAGAGGGGGAAAACCCTGAATTTTGAAGAACAAAGTCATTAGACACCTAGCTCAAAAGTCGAGAAAAGTCATTTCCCGCCATCTAGCTAGAAATCAAAATTTTCCCGGGGGAGGACCCCCTAGATTTGATTCCAGATCTACATGATTCATATTCCCATTCAAATTATAAGTGCCCCCCACCCCCCACCACTTTGAAAAACGTTCCGCCGGCCCTGAAGTTTATGTATATATACTAATATTTTGCGAATGGGTTTTTAAAAGCAATCTTGGGATTTTACAGCTTTACAGCTTTGCCGTCGAAAGTCCTAGGATTCGACAATGACGTCAGTGCACATGTTTACAAACGTCATTGATTGGAATGAAAATAGACGCGCTGAATTTCGTTTGTCTTATGAGATAGTATTTATCGAACATTTATCTATATAAAAACAAGATTAATATTGTAGAAATTGTATTTATAAAGATTCATATATAATTCATATTTCATTTGGTAGACAATAAATATTCAGTGAGATACTAAAAACGATTATTAATTCCGAAATGTGCATCAAATCTCAGCTATTATTAATCAGTATGTATTAGGTTAAAGTCTTAAAACAATAATTTCGAATTAGGCCTAGTAAACAAATAATTGTAACTAAAGTATAGGTTCCCATGATGTCAGATGATGTATTCAATATGATGCTATATTTTGGGATCTGACTTAATTTAACGATGGCCCTGTCAGTTGTAGTAATGACAATATTTGTGCATTTTGAGCCATGTAGTAAAAATAGTACTATTATTTTCAGTGTACAAGATGAGAGTGAAGAAGAAGTTCAGCTTCTACTTTATTTTGTAACAGGCAACTCTATTTTTTATAGGCCTACTGGAAGATTCATTATTTAAGTTACAAGACAAAACTTTTTAAATGTTTTATATATTATAATAATAAGTACATAATTCTTTGTAAATTACTTTATATGACTATATAATAGCTTGTTTTGTTTTATAATAATAAATGTGTTGAGTATATTGATATTGATTGTGCAATGAGGTTTTTTTTTTGTCTTTCAGTGTGATTAAAACATGTCAATTCTCAGAAAATATTTTCCAATTTTATCATATTACCACCCTTTATTACATAGATCTTTTTCAAAATATAACTGCTTTTATAACATTATATAGACCCATTAAACACAAAAACTGCTCTGGCTTCGGGGGCTTCGACCCCACTGGGGCCCTTAGGCAGTCCCCTGGACCCCACGCCCAGAGAACCCCCCTTGAAATGACCTGGCTACGGGCCTGAAAATATATTTTCAATTTAGTAAATATGTAAAGAAAGTTTTATATATATATATATATATATATATATATATATATGTTATGAATGATAGGCCTATGCAATTATTTTGAGTAGGCCATGTAAAATGAGGTAAGGAACTGACCTGACCATACTCGAGATAAACTTACCAATTTCTTTCTTTAACTTTCTGTTGGCTTGGACGATTCGTTGGATACGCTCCTCTGAAAATGCTACTCCGCAGGATTTCTCACAGCACTCTGCCTGGCACATGTTTCCATCTTCATTCTTTGTACAGTGTAAGGTAGTCGTTTCAGTGTGGACTTTGGGTCGATTGTAGTAACTTGATCGAAAAGAGTCGTTAAGCTGGTGCTCAAGTAGCTTGTACAACTTACGCAGCTCTACATATTGCAATTTCTGTTTTTCATCATCCACATTATGTATTGACGGCGACGTTATCATGTCATTTCTATTTCCAATGTCTGGTTCTGGAGATGGGTATTGTATAGATTGGTAAGAGCTGCCATCTTGACTACTGAGCCATCCATCTGAAACAGCTTGTGATCCGTTGTCAGATGTAGGGTAGAATCCAGAGTCATCGAAGCCACACGACGCGACCAGTTGGTCTTCACCCTCAGACACGCCGCAACGCCGTTGCCGAATTGCGTGATTTTCACGATATGTTATCATATTGACAACTTTACTTGGAATATTTGGCAGAAACGGCTGATGAGATTTTTGTTTTGGCTGTACGACCTTTTTCGGACGAGTTTCCGCCCAGTCAAATGCGCTTCGGAATTCGCGGTCACGTACAGTCGTCGACGCCTTTCCTTGGTGAATTAGTATACTCGCAACGACATCGTGTCCGTTGTACATCGCTTGCATTAATGGAGTCATTCCATTAAAGTTGGGAACATCAACACTGAGTGAGTACTTAAGTAGAGAATCAACTATCATCTTAACCGTGGCAGCGCTGCCAGATGATGCGGCGTGAAAGAGTGCCGTACACCCGTTCATATCCGCTTGATTGAGATCAAGATCGACATCTCTGTGAGCTAGCAGGTAACTTACAAGACGATCCTTGCCATAGATACATGCCCAGTGAAGTGCGTTTCTATCAACGATATCTGACTGCGACACTACTGCGCCGTATTTCAAAAGAAGTTTGGTAATTTTCATCTGGTTCCGATTATTGTCGATAAATACTGCGCGTATCAGCGCACCTTGCCCGCACTCGTCGACGATAGAAAGCTTGGCGCCAGCTTCAATGAGCAAACGGACTTGTCGCGGTCTGCCAGCAGAAATTGCCTTCAATATCGCTGAACCTGAACCACATTCCTCAGGCATTCTGTACGCCGCTAAAATGAAAAACGGTTAGCAGATGATCAACGAGGTGCAGTGCTACTACAACAAATCAGACTTCCGTTGAATATACACGTACACTCCTTCCGATCACAACTCGATCTGTTATTAAATGATTGAAACACATAAATTCATCAGATAGCAGACAATTTCTCTCTCAGACAAAATGCGTTATCAACAAAACGTGAGGCTGTGTCCGAGAGCATTGTCAACATCACAGCACGGTCATTCACGATACTATGATAGCGCTATGACGTCACAATAACATGACATTGAGTGACAGAAGAAAGTGATTAATCAATCCTTACATTAAGTCAAAGAAATTAATTGTGAATTAAAGGTGTATCGTACACCAACCTGCGCAATTCTATTCAGGATCATCGCATTGGTGGCGGTGAGGAGGTAATGACAATGTATGATTGATACATCCATCCATGGAGGTATATACCTCCATGATCCATCCGACCATTCATTGTTCCTACACGAACATATCTTTGGTTGTTGGCCTTCTCGTAAGCCAGACTATCAAACTTTATTAGATAAAAACATGTGACATGCCTAAACGATCGTGAAGACATCACATCACCTCATGAATATATACCGTATATAGGCACATCATAACTATATATGGCCAAAGAAAAATTGATAGTGTGGGCAGAGCTTCAATATGTATATTATGCGGCTGGGAGCACCTTATTACGTCATTGATTGTAAATTATTATTCAGCAATACTGTTAACAATAATGAGCTCAATCAAAGACAGTGGCGTAACGACAAGTCATTGGGCCCGGTGGCGAAAAAAGGGTCCCCTTGCATATCAGTAAAGTAGACAATGTCAAAAAATTATCTTGTGTCTACGGAATTTAAAAAAATAGAATCAACTAATATTTTGCCCATACATTTTTAATTAGAATAGTTTGTGTGCAACGTATAGACCCTAAATTATAGGTCTAGGCCTATGCATAAATCGTCATTTGCGTACGTGCATTTCCTTAGCGTGCATAGCATGCTTAACAAGTTTCATCTGTACGTTTACATTAGGCTCTATAAAAAATATTAGTTTATTACCCTATCTCGGCTGGAAAAGTTATGAAGGAGGGAGGTTTTCTATTTTTATTTTTTAACAATCAAACAATATCTACATACCTATTTACCAATGAAAATGAAAAAAAAATATTAATTTTTCCAAAATAAAATAAAATAAAATCTTTTTATAAAAAATATGTTTTTTTTCTGTAGCATATGGCATAGAGGACATGCTCGCGAGGATGATAAACTATTTTTTTTTTATTGGGCCGTATTCTACCAAAAGAGACCAACATCACTGAGATGAAGAGCGTGAAGTACCGTAAGCATATTGTGGACATACCGTAGCTACGGTATTATCTATTCATCCTATCATAGTAACATGATGAGTAAGTTCTCTTTACGTGTTAAAAAGTTCCGTCTCAAATCACTTTTATTTCGTTTGATGAATTTTTGCGGTTACACCCTACTTTGAACACTGACATGTGTCACTCATGATTTACTTGAATAAACGCCACTCAAGTGACACAAACAAATGTAGTTCCCTACTAAGTGTAATAACATGCATTACACATTGCACTGTAATAATCTCAAGAACACTTGACCAATTCTGAATGAATGGACCCTACCCTAGGATATGGTGACGTCAATCACCATCAGTGGTATTAAATACGAATTATTTTTAATAGTTTCTTTTCAAATTTGTTAGTTTTATCCATGAATATAGAATGATATGGTTTATGTATCACTCTGGCTTATATGTCTGAATATATTATGTTATTTAAATTGTATATAAACTTTTATTGTGATAATATTTAACAAAGATTGTACAATCAACCAGTTCCATCAATGACATAGCTGGATATCGTTATCATTTTATTGTTACTGTGTACACTGCGGTAATACAAATAATTTATTTGGCTATACACTTTAGAAGGAGTTTCACATAACCAGATATAAGCGATGCATCTATTCCCATATAAAATTAAACAATGGACAATTAATATTAAATGTAAAATGAAAGACAACGTAACAACAAATAATAAAAAATACAGTAAAATCAAAGCAACATAACCAAAAATGAACATCATCAGAAATCAGATTATACAGTAAATGAAACATCTCCACCTGCCAAAGGAAACGAAACACCCTCGAAATGCCCAACGCAGAGACCATGGAGGAATTAGTAAAGGCCCGGTGGCAAGCAGGGCTGCAACAACCAAGGATGAAGAGGCTCAACGCCCCAAGCAAGTGGTGTACTTCTGGGCATGCACAGCTCCCGAAAAAGAGAAATCGTTCATATACCGTATACAGTACAGATATAAAAGTTAATTTTCAGAAAAGCAAGCAACAGCAACGAGCCCCTGCTGAGTGCGTTCATATATTGATTTATTTCCATCACCCTGCCGAGAGCATGCACAATATATTATGTACACACTCTTTTCTGAAATACCCTGAAGTTTCTCCCAGAAAGAGAGCTCAATGAAATAATTATTTCACCCTAAGTCCACCCTCTCATCCCCTCAGAAAAGAACACATATGTATAGACCGTCAACCCCTCTCCGAACAGTAAATATTAATAATATTTCCTTCACGTTAAAATTGTACATATCTAAACATTATACAATCAATACAATAATTTAATTAATCCAGACTTTTCATAAAACAATCAATGCAATAATGCATAATCACCTAACTGTCAAGAAAATGAAATATTGCAGTAAATCTCTCTTAGTGACACGATAATATTCTGATATACAAGAGGTTGTGAATTTAACATCATGTTAGGCCTATGTATAAATAAAAAATTTTAACTTTAAATCCTTAATTTACTCTAATACTAAAATAATTGATAATTCTTCTAATTGGTCCCACTTGGTTATTTAAAGAAGCGCTTGCTATTCACCGGCATGAGCCTTCACTTAACCATAGAGAGAATATTGTTCTATTTTCTCTATGACTGTGGTCTAAGAGCTCCTAGAGAATTAAAACTGTTTATTTAATTTTGACTACACCCTATGCCCTTAGACTAAGGGCATTATGTTTAAAGAATATGACTAAAAACATAGCTTAATATCGAAATGTCCACTGATTAATCTCAGTTAAGAAAGTATAATACATACTCCAAGTATTGAAATACACGCCATCGTGTTGGGATTCAATATTTCGACATTAATTATGACATCATTCCTGATGACGACATAATTAATGTCGAAATATTGAATCCCAACACGATGGCGTGTATTTCAGCTAGTGTTTTGATTATTGTGACTTTACCGAAGAAGGATAAGTTTCTTCTTTCCCATGATTTTAAAGCTTGTGCTAAATTTGAAACCTTTTGTCGTTCCAATTTTTTTCAATACACAATTTTTTTAATTATAGCCAATAAAAATTCCTAGAAATTTTACGGGTTCCCGAACAAAAGTAATTCCGGATGGATTGTTTGTTTTGTTTTCGTTAGAACCAATCCACAAACCATTGGTCTTGTCTTTATTTAATTTCAGACCAGATACAGCACAAAACTGTTTAATTTCCTTGAAAAAGTTAGCTATACTGACCTCATCTTTTGCAAATATTATAGTATCGTCTGCTAATTGGGCTATTTTTACAGTATTTTCCGTTTTTGTTTGCGGAAGTGATGGTAATGCAATGCATTCACATAGGGAATTATTTCTGATATTAATGACCATCAGATCAGCGACTAAAATAAATAGAAAAGCGGAAAGGGGACATCC